CCCCCTCCATGGATCCACCGATTGTGTGCTACCATATATACATATATATCGCATATATATATATATGTATATGTATGTATGTATGTATGCGGCCCCGGCAGGCCCATCGTAATTGCAAAGTCTTGCTCAATCAGCGACAAGCATCGACGGGGAGCGTTCACGCACCACCTCTCAGCACCTGTGCCACGGTTTGGGTAGGATTCCGGTCACTGGTTAATAGGGCTTAGGGTTTAGGGGGCTTTGGAAAAATGTTTGACAGTACCCTAAACCTGGTTAAGGGGAGAATTAGCCAGAGGAATGGCCAGTCCCCATATACTTCCCAAAAAGTCTTCTCCCAAATACTATATACTTTCATGTAAACTCACAAAAAATCTCCAGCATACTTACATCCTTGAGCCCTAAACCCTCAACATTGGCACCTACATAAAACAGAAACACAAGAAGAACCTGGGATCTATGGAAATACCCCCAACAAATTGTCCAAGCCCTAAGCCCTAAGACGTAAACCCTTAAGCTTCAACCATAGACCCCGAACCCTTAGAATTCAATCCGCAACCCTTAACCCAATGAAACCCTACACCGAAAAATCTTCCCTAACCCCTACACATAAACTGCCGATGGGCGTTGCTTCCATAGGCTGGCTGCGCCATAGCCTTTGGCGGGTTGAGTTGCTTGGGATGGATGTATGGTTTAAGCTAGCATTTACGAGCATGGGTTTACAGTTTAGGGCCAGTTTGTGGTTTCTTTAGGAGTTAAGGTTTAATGGGCAAAGTCATTTTCTGAGTGGGCAAAGTGATTTTCTTCCTGGGCGTGCTTACTGGGCAAGGTGACTTTCTCAGTGGGATTTTCTTACTGGGCAAGGTCATGTGCAGCACCCTCAGGTTCAGGCTGAATGCGAGGGCTCAGGGTTTTAGAGTTTGAGGTTCAAGGTTCAGGGTTCAAGGTTTAGAGTTGAGGATTCAGGCTTTAGGGTGTAGGCTCGAAGATTGAGAGTTTAGGGAATAGCTGTCTTAATGATGTGGAACCCAATGGGCAGGTGGATATTTGCCCATTGTCTGATAACGCCGCTTAACAAGTGAATGCTTGGACTTGCGATGCTGAACCCAAAACCAATGCCCTAAACCCCAAATCCTAATGAAGCCCTAAGCCCTAAACCCTGTATCCGAGGGGTCTGACTCGGAGATTGATGCCTCTCGATCCGTCGGGCTGGATCTCAAGTTATACAATGGTAGTTCCGGAACCCATTTAGGGTTAGGAGCTTGGAGCTTAGGGTGTCTCTCCCGTACATACAGCACTTTAGGGCTTAGGCTAGGCTTTAGGGCTCCGGTTTTAAGATGCTGCCCACACCCCCTCCCCGTTACACTTCAAGCCAGAAACCCTGATCGCGCGAGTATCTGCCGGGGAAGAAAGCCCCAGGCGCATAGGTCTTGACCTCGGGCAGGTTAGGGTTGACGTGTAGGGTGTAGAGGTTTAGGGGTTAAGGGTTTGGGGTTTGGGGTTTGGGTTTCTCCGTGATGTACATCTTGACATATTAGCTGCCTTAGACTGAGAAAGAACCACATATAGATCCCCTTTTCGACGCTGTGGTCATTGTCAAATTCCATGCTTGGGCGCGGAATAGGAATTCTAGTGCCGAGCTTTCGGAAAAGCTCCGGTTTAGGGTTTAGAGCTGAAGTGGCCCCAACTAAACGCCCCAGGAGGCCTCTTTCTGGTTCATGCTCAAGCCACCCCATACCCAAGCAACACATGATAATCTTCTTGAAGCGCTTGGCAACCCTCTCACAAGAACAAAACACAAATACCCTAAACTGTGCTGTCCACAAGCTTGTACCACTAATCTGAGCACCAGATTTATCCCAAAGCCCTTTGCGCATCTAAAACCATCTAAACCGCAAACCTTAAACCCTGAAACCCTAAATCCTAAACCCTCCAACCCTAAGCCTACACCCTAACCCCCCAAACCCCTAAAGCCCTGAACCCCGAAACCCTAAACTGGGTTGCTGTTAAGGAACTTAAATTAAGTTACCATAATGGGTATATATAGTAAATAATAGGGTTTCCCCAATATGGTAAACATAATTTAAGCTCCTTAAATCCCTA